TGAGTTAAACAAAATGCGACTGGCACTGGTTAATCGATGAAGTTCAGTTCTGCTTCATGGCAATGCTCGACCCCATTTGCTAGAATGACACTATAGAAGCACATCAACGTGGGAAACTAAACTTTAACACACCCACCATAATCCCCAGATCATTTATCCACTGACTACCACTTTTTTAAGCATCTCGACATTTTTTTAAGTCAAAGACATTCTGTTGCAAAGGTGGTACGGAAACTGTATTCAAAGATTTTTTGGTATCCAAACTTTTAAAGTTTTAACGTTAAGGCCGAAATAACATTTTAAGTCGATGATTGAGATGTGTAGTTGTTCAAGTTTCTTATTTTGAATGATTTAAACACCGCTTAAATACATTAATACAGGAATAAAAGTTGATTATAAAATCGGATATTATTTTCCGAGCAACCTATTATATATCGTGTCGCTTCAAAACGTGAGTGGTTGTGGTCCTCCATATCTTCCTGTCCTCTGTGTAAAGTCTATTTTTGTTATAGCTCCCACTCCTTGTTCCGCTACCACAAACTCGTTAGGCAGCTGACTCGCTGCTTACTCTTCTCTTTTTGTCTTCATTAAATTCTGTGAGTTTTCCAAACCTAATTTCCTCATTATATATCCTAGAAATTTCAACTCTCTTTTTTTCATTCAATCATCAATCTCCTTTTTGTTTCCAATATCCTTAAAACTTTCTCGTTACATGTTGAGTCCATTGTCAGCATCCTTCTATGAAACAACATTTCTGTTGACTCAAGTCTCTTCTTCATCTATACGGAGATTGTCCAACATTCACAACCATATTGGATTTGGTTTGGTTTAGTTTAGTTTGGTTTGGTTTGGTTTGGTTTGGTTTACAGCACATCAACCTCAATGAACGACAAAATTTTTATTGCTAGAAATATGTTTTTTTTTTTTTTTCAAAAATCTATTTCTGGGAATATTTTTCCTTGAAGAAATCTATAGCTGGTCATATTTTTTTTCAAATAATCTATAGCTGTTTGTATTGCTGGTATTTTTTTTTTAAGTATTGCTGATATTTTTTTTAAAGTATTGCTGATAATAATTTTTCCTTCAAAAATTATTGCTGGTAATATTATTTTTTTATTATAAAATATTTCTGGTATTAAAACCTATTTTTACACAAGTTTGGGTGTTAATTATTTACATAGATGGGAACATGTACTGCCACCCCGGGTCTGGGTGGACCTGGGAACACCAGCAGTTAAGAGGTGGTTCCACGCTCCTCAAAACCTCCTGATCAGAGACCTGGCTGTTGGACATAGTTTATCGTCATAGCCAGGACGCGGATGTAATTTATCGTCTTACCAAGGACGCGGATGTAGTTTATCGTCATAGCCAGGACGCGGACGTAGTTTATCGTCTTACCAAGGACGCGGGTGTAGTTTATCGTCATAGCCAGGACGGACAACCATATTGGAGGATCGATATTACATAACAGTTCAGTACTCTTTTTTTCTATTTTTTTTTTTTTTTTTTTTTGCTTCTTAATACTTTTCTTGGATTTTGGAAGGCATCTTTCGCTATTCCAATGCATCTTCCTATTTCGGTGTCACATTTTACCGTCTTATGTTAAAAAAAAAAACTTCGCAAATATTACATTTCTGTATTTGCTTGATTTCGACACCTCTAGTTCGTAGTTCGCATCTTGGGCTGTTTCTTTTCTTGAAAACCACCTCTTCTGTCGTTTTACATTTGAAGTTTCGTTCTTTCTTCTCACTTTCCTTTATTGCTTTCTATTGGAGTTCATGGAGGTCCTTTTCTGTTTCTACAATCAACATAGTGTCGTCTGCATATCTTATGCTGTTAAGATTCTGCCTACCAATAGTAAATCTCAATATAACTCTAATTCTCTCTATAAATAAATCGTACGTTGATTAATACCTACATATTCATCAGTAGATTATCATCAGCAACAGATAATTTTAAAAATTAAGTACACTGACAAGAAAATATATTATGCTGAAAAAATAAAATTGCTTGTTTAAAATGCATATTTCCCATCATTAGTCTACGGTCTTATTGATATATCTATGTATAGAACGCGATAATAATCCGTAAGTGGCTATCAACAACGGATGGTTTTAAAAATTACGTGAATTGTCAAAGAAAGAGATAAGTTGAAAAATATCTTTCTTGTGTAAAATGCATGTTTCCCCATCATTAGGCTATGGACTTATTGATATACCTGTGTATAGAACGCGATAATAATCAGCAGATTGTTATCAACAATGGATAGTCACATGCATTGTCAAGGAAAGAGATAACTTGAAAAATATATTTCTTGTGTAAAACGCATGTTTCACGATTATTAGGCTACGGACTTATTGATATACCTATGCATAGAACGCGATAATAATCAGCAGATTGTTATCAAGAATGGGTGATTTTAAAAGTCACATGCATTGTCAAGAAAAAGGATAAGTTAAAAAATATCTTTCTTGTGTAAAATGCATGTTTTCCCCATCATTAGGCTACGGACTTATTGATATCCCTATGTATAGAACGCGATAATAATCAGTAGATTGTTATCAAGAACAGATGGTTTTGAAAATTCCTGGATTCTGTTCACTGGAACATGAAACGCTACAGCGAATTCTCAATAAATCAAACCTCTGTAAACATTACACTATCCCTAATTGATTAGTGTCGGCCATAAACAGCATTCACTTATTAATATAAGACGACGCCATATATTTTAAAGTTGGCGTTAATCAAAGTCGTAAATTAAAACCAGATTCTGTAGAGGTCTGTTTGATTTGGAAAGCTGTTAATTAGTGCTGGAAATGCGACTTTAAGCATGGCGAGAAAAAAAAAAAAAAACAACGAGAAGAAAGAAAATGAATCTCCGAGCAACACATTATGTCTGTTCATTTAACATATAGATTCGAGCAAGGCTTAAACTTTTTTTTCCACACCGGACGTTTGCTTTTCCTTTCCTTTTTTTCTGTGAATTTTAGAAAATAGAAAGTCTTTATTGATCTCTTAAGTCACATCTTAGTAATTTTAAATAGAAGATTGCAATTATGAACGGCTCGATTTAAAGAAAACTGCGGAAACTCCTAGATAAATCAGTAAAAGAAAGCAAGAAGAAAGGACTAAATATGAATACTAAGTAGACAAAATGTATATTTGTCAGCAATAGGAGGAGCCCAATGTGCGAACTACCAATTTGACTTATCAAAATCAAGAAAGTACAAAGATATCATATCTGGGAAGTGATTCAACAGAGGACAGAGAATGTGACACAGAAATCCGAAGGCGCATTAGAATAGCGAAAAATGCCTTCCGAAAGCTAAGCAAAGTATTAAGAAATAGGAAAATTTTTTTAGAAACAAAGAAAAGAGTTCTGAACTGCTATAAATCCGCCTGTATGGTAGTGAATACTGAAACATTTTGGAATTTCTTGGATATTGAATAAGAATCGAAGTCTTCGAGAATTTGAAAATCACAGTAGACATACACTGAAGGCAAAAAGGAACAAAAGGAAAAAAAAACAAGGAACCTTCTTAAAAGGAATCCGTGAATTGATGGTTGAACAGGGATTAGTAGTGATATTAAGTAGTGATATTAAGTAAACAGCTACAAAGATAAGAAGTTGTGGAGATCCATGATCGCCCACGTCACATATCAAAGAAGTTATATAACTCACTCTTTCCATCTGTCTCTCTTACCTTTGAAATGTTCTGTTAATTAATGATCAATAGTGTCACCAGACTAGCATCTCTACTGTTTTAACATTCGTCTCTTTTTTTTCTGCTAACGGAAACAGATTCAAGTGTCTCTCAGTTTTCAGCTCGTTTTTCATATGGTGCGATTTCAAATCCTTTCTTAATGCGTTGTAGCCGTCGACCAGCCGTTGATGACGAAGAAAGTTTATTTCGTGGGGACTCTGATTTTCCTTAAACCGTAATAAGAAACGAGATGAAAAGGACAAGATCAATAAGCAATCAAACGAAAGGTTCCACCTTGAAACGATTCAATGGGCAGCCGACAAACAAACGGGTTGGAAGAAAAGTTTCTTGATTCGAGCCTTTGTGTCTTTGCGCGTGCGTGTGGATTTTATGGCTGAGCCACTCTGATTTTATTTCAAAAGAAAAAAAGAGAGAGGAAAAAAACACTGAGTAAAACACAGTAATTACTTTCTTATACCCGGGTAACCATGGCTATTTGCGCCTGCATCCATGGTTTCAAAAGTGACAAATCGTTAGCACGAAAAGCCACACAAAGAGATTTTTTTTATTTTTACCATCTTTAATGTGCGTGTCCGTGTTTTTTCGTGCACTATGATTTTTCTTCGCTCTCTCCTTTCCTTCTCTTTCCGTTTCATGATAGATAGATAGATAGATAGATAGATAGATAGATAGATAGATAGATAGATAGTGTATACGCGTATGTAGATAGTGTTTGTTATATGTTTCGTCACGTAAAATTATTTACCCAATATGGCATGTCATATTTTCATATATATATATATATATATATATATATGTGTGTGTGTGTGTGTGTGTATGTGTGCGTGTGTAAGAGAGAGAGAGTGTGTGTGTGTGTGTGGAATAATAAACCCTACCAAGACGAAAAATATCCAAAATCTACAATGAAATTTGTCCATATTTTGTTTCTTCTATTATTACCTACCGGTATTATAAGCATGTGGCTGAAATATATATATATATATATATATATATATATATATATATATATATATATATATATATAGAGAGAGAGAGAGAGAGAGAGAGAGAGAGAGATTGTCTCAGAAAATGTACTCACTCTAAATGACAATAAATGCAATGTTTATTGACTTGCAAATATTAATGGTTAGAATTAGGAAATATTATTGTTTATTGACTTACAAAGAAGATTAACGGTTTTATCTAAATATTAAATGAAAACAAATGGATTGATCTGAAAAAGAAAAACATCAAGAAGTTATAAGAACTCAATTAGTGTGAGATATAAAAAATTACTGTAGATAGATAGATAGATAGATAGATAGATAGGGGAATAATAACAATAGTAGCAACAGGAATAACACCCATTGGCGTACGTAAAATGATGTCATTAACGTTAGTCATAAGCTTACAGATGTCATAACATTAGTAGGTTCAAATAAGTGTTGTGAACTTTATATTTATTGATATATAGGCAGATACATAGATCTATAGATATTTGAATGACAAAGTGAAAAAAATCTATTTAACGCGTTTCGTCCTCATAAAGGACTTCATCAGTAATGTTCTTATTGACGGAATGCAGTATTTTCTGCTTATAAGACATATTTTTCCCATAGAATATCTCCCAAAACTACCTTGCATCCTATAAATCAAAGGTCGGTGACGTGAGTTAACTTCTGTTCTAATTATTATATTCTAAATAGTTACCATAAATTTAGCACTTGTTGGTCTCTAATGAATTTGTCATAATTAGGTTTTCATGCTGAAATATGCAATTCATTGGATAATATTGGGGATAGTAGGGAAGGCTATGACGTACAAGGAAAAAACTTTTTCCAATTTCCGTCTTCAAAATTTGGGGAAGTTTCTAATGCATCGGAGCGTATTATAAGCAACGAAATATATCTTCCCTCAATAATAACATTAATTTAGTCTGATGAAGTCCTTTTGGAGGAAGAAACGCGTTACCCAGAATATATTCTATTTTTCATTCAGTTACCCAACATTTTTCTGGTATATAAAAATCTATATATTTATGCACAGATAGATAGATAGATAGATAGATAGATAGATTATTTAATCATGTTATTATATGTAGGTAGGTACTTCAATAGGTCTGGAGCCTATAGAAGAAAAATGTCCTTTTATCATTCTAACTATAGTTAAGATGATCTATCATTCCCTATTATAATATTAACGAAAAGGCTGTAACTTGTTTTCTGGTCCTCAAAAATCATAAATTGTACTAAGAAAACCATACTGGCAATCACTCTCGATTTGGGGGTAAAATTAACAAAAGTCATGAATTTACCAAAGTGGTCCTAAAGTTTTATCAGTCTGTAGTAATGTTTCGTCTACTTGATTAATATTCATTACTGAATTTAAAATTGACAATCAACATTATGGTGTTGTTGCACAAGGCCGAAAGTGTGACGCACCCAGTGAGGATCAAACTCACTACTCAGTCGTAATTGATCTCATGAGACAAGTTCGCTAACCATTACATCGAAGTTTCGTAACAATGTCGTGTTGGAAAGTATTTATTGTGTAAAATAAAATCTTTCTTCTTTATTTCCCTCATTAAAATTTTAACACTTGAAATCCTCAGATACAAGGCTCGAGAGCCACTGCATGTAGAGTATTACTGTTAAAATGGTAATGATAAATAAGATGTGTGATATGAATGAAAGAGATGTTAAGATGGTCACTCTCACTCACTCACTCACTCACTCACTCACTCTCTCTTTTTATGTATATTGTTTTATGTCTTTCTCTCCCTCTTTCACTTTCATTGTGTCCATATCTATCACATGAGTGTTTTTATGTATCGATCTGTCTATTTTCTCAGCACTTTTGATTTGCTTATCTTTTTCACACTCTACATTTGCATCTTATAAAAACATTTATTTCGACATTTTCAAATGAAACATTTCCGATGTTATCCTATTTCATATTATTGCGTTGTAATCAACACTCTCAATCGATTAACTCTTCGACCACCGGATCAAACAAGAATAAGACAAAAAAAAAGCTTTCATTGAGACTTCACATCCTACACATCGATAATGCGACATTTAGTAAAACCGTGTTCCCAAAGTGCAGGTTGAGAGTTCGAGTCTCATCAGAAGCTATTTCTTTATTTTTAACTAGCAGCATGGCCCGGCGTGGCCCGTTCTCGATTCAAAAATCGTACGATTCATACAGCAATCGCTATCACTTGACTTAAAATATTTTTGCTCTTCCTTGCCTTTAAAGGAGTGCCCTTGCCGTGCTGATGTTGCTACATGCCTTACTTCTTGCCTATCTCACACTGCGAATTTTTTCTAAGCTCTATACTAAACATTAAATCTGTTACGAAAAAAGAACTAAACAAAATGAACACAAAACGATCAGCTTTAAAAAAGGACTCGTAACTGGAAAAACCGAATGAAAAAAGAATGTTAACAAATACTTTTTCACACCCAAACCCAGTTCTGCGGAATCAGAATCAACGTTGAGTTTAAGCAAGCGAATGAGCCAATTGGAGTAAAGTGTCATGCAGATTTAAATTTTTCCCACTTGTGACGAATGCAGCTATCGATTTTTTTTGCATGCTAGCATGCTAGTTAACATTCGTGTCAGTCAGCTGTTGGCTCTCACGCTGGCCAATAGAATATTCCTGCCTATTCGTGGCAGCCAGCTATTGGCTCTCACTCTGGCCAGTACAAAATGGCCGCAAACTACATGAAAACTGCCGTAGAAGCATGAAAAAATCGATTATTTCCATTATCTATGGGAGTTGGGAAATGCAAAGTCAGTCTTGGCCTTCCCGTTAACTTGGAGCATGTGCATGTAAATTTTGATGTAAATCCGTCGAAAATTGCGGCCGTGCATTCGTTACACACACACAACACACATCCTGCCTTTTATAGATAGAGATTTCAATCTACATTGTGGCTTACGGCCACTTTACATTTAAATTCCCGTGCAATCACGAAAGTTAAGTAAACTTCAAGCATAGTCGGTATCTAGAATAATGACCGCTTGGGAATACTATCTGCTGTAAGCTTGAATGTTGATGTTGTGCAATGGATAATGTTTCGGAATTGTAAATCGGTGAGCCGAGTTCCAATTCCAGTCGGGTTTGTTATATTCACTTCCGCGCAAATAATCTTGGGAGAGGTATGAATCCACTACGTCTACGCCACCCCCAACGCCCAACTATTAATTAGTCAAATTTGTATTACTAAACTATTACTATCTCCAAAAATGAAATAAAATCGTGTAAAAAAATATTTAGGTTTCGGCATTAAGTAACCGACAGAGATTGATATGCTAAACAAAATCAGCCACACATCAAGCTATATTGTGAAAAACAAATTGTAGTAATAAGAAGTGAAGCTAGTAATGAAATATAGTAATGAAAACGCAGAAATATTTACTTGATATCGATTTTACAAGAATAAAAATGTTGTGATTTAGACGATTTTATAGATTTGAAATTATAAACGTTTTTCCTGCTGTGTGAAGTTGGGTTAATAAGTACAAATGCCAAATGAAATGATAGTAACGTGTATGCTACAACTAAAAATATAAATGTTTTGTAGTTTATGCTAGATTACGGATTTTATAAACATATTCTTTTTCAGAGTTGCACAATAGAATCTTCCAATAGTGTCATGTCTGTCAAAGCACCAAACTCAATTCTCAAAACACCTTGCTACTTTTTCCAGTTTAGGTATAGAAACCCAAATACTAAGGCACATGAAATAGTAATATTAATATTAGTTGTCTTTTTATAAGAAAACATTGGCTATTAATTGACCAAGCAGCCAGGGCTACTATCGGTTGAAATTTATATTTCTAGTGTAATAACTTTTTCATGAAAATAGGTTTCTCAAGTCCATTAGCTGTTATAATTCTTTCCATTAATAGGGCTTTCTTTTTTTTAATAGTGTGGAACTTCAACATCTGGATTATGTCACTATTTTTTATCGAGTCACACAACTAAAAATGTATGATTACTAAGTTTTCCACTCGTTTATTTTGATATATATTTTACTTGTTGAAAGTCCTCAGGTGATGTGGTTCCTGTTTTTTTGTTGTTGTTTTTTTGTTGTTTTGTTTTTTTGTTTTTCTGTGAATCTGTATCGCCAATCCAATGTTCAAAGAAGAATGGCCCATGCTAAGACCTACAGGCTTTATTTGCTCAAAGCTACTTTTAGAAAGAAAATGACTGCATACAGCTGTCAGTTTAGATATTTCTAAACGAAATTGGCGACATGCATGACATCCATATAAAAGTCTCGATCGGACGAGACTTTTTAAGAATATGACTCGAATTCTTAGGCTAATATTTTCGTTTTGTATTAACTTGAGTTGTTGGAGGAAACTATAATGAGAATAACCATAAACTTACAACCGCATATCGGCAATGTCTCGCGAGATGATTGCGAGATTAATGAAAGCGAGAAAGATCACCTACAGGTGGGGCATGCTTTTAAATGAGTGACGATGTTAATCAAAAGGCAATAATTATTTAAATCACGCCATAAAATCCGAACCCGGAACATAGTTTACACGAGCGTGGCACTCCCTTTACAAACTTTAAATAATAGATTTCAATCTTATGATTTTATTCCTATTAAAATACTATAAAACTAAGCCTCTTCTTATAAAGATTATCGTTTCCTTCTTAAACCATCGAATGAGGGAACTTTTCACTTTCTTATAGCCTTTCTCTTTCTCTTTCCTTTTTTCTTTCTCTCTTTTTCTCGTTCTTCTTTCTATCAATATATCTTTTTCGAGCCTATATTCCTTGTTTATCGCTTAGCTCAAACTGTTTTCTGAGTTTCCTTTAGAAATTGTAATTTTAGATCGTTAATAACGCTAATGTCTTGCTAAGCTCTTTGATGGTTACCCGAAAACATTTATTACATTCTATTAGTACCACATGCTTTTTTTCGTTTTAAGGACTTGCTTTCTTTTTAGATTCACTTTCACTCATATATCTCTTTCCCTCTCACCACGCGAAGAGAGGCACATACACGCAATATATGCGTTTGTATGCGTGTGTGTGTGTATGTATGTATATGTATTCATAATTCTTACTCTGTATTTATGTGTATACGTCTCCCTATCTATTATCAAACATTCATTTCCCCCTCTCTGTCTGTCTTACTCTCTTGCTCTCTCTCTCTCTCTCTCTCTCTCTCTCTCTCTCTCACACACACACACACACACACACACACACACACACACACTCCGATTACGTTCTGATCTTTCTACACCGTGGGAAAGTATACTATGGGCGCCATATTGTATTTATATTTAATGACTTCATCATGTGAGAATCACCCGTTGCTACATTGACGAAATTGTTAATG